CGCTAGCGGATTGTGGCTGGACATACCTACCCTTCAGCCTCACCCAGCCTTGGCTCTTTCGCGATGCTTTTATTTCCAAGTTTACTGCGAGGGGGCTTTCTTTTAGCTTTCCTGTTCAGTCAGTGAACTTCAGAAGCTGTGAATCTTTTCCCCCAGACTCTGTTTCCCCTTTCTTCCCATTTCTTAGTTGATTTATCTGTTTCCCAAAGACTTGAATATGGCCAAGAAAAACACTGTCCAGGAGCAGTCAGACCTGCAGGTTGAAACCCGGTGTGTCTTTCTTTCCAGGTCGCTCCCAATAAAGTTTCCATGGATCTTTTAGGCAGCCCTTTTGGAAGAAGTGGAAGAAAGGGGAGGGGTCTCTCTCATATCTCAGAGGCAGGTGCTCTCCACCGACGCCATGCAGGACATCTCGGTGTGGACAGTACCTCAAGTGTGCAGTTTCGGTGCGTTCAAAACAGAAACAAAACACCACCACAGTATAAACGAGATGTCCTTGTTGCCCCTTTTCCTCTTCCGGTTTTGTTTGTTATATATGCATATAAAACAGTCTTGGTATTTATTATGTTTAAAAATTTTTTTTTTGGTCCCTCCTTCCTTGGACTTCAGAAAGAGTCACATCGGTCTCCAGCTGTTCTTCCCCCTCCTAGGGCCGTGGCACGCCTGTCTTTGGGCGGAGGGGAGGAGGCCTAGACGCCCTGGCACTGGCCAGGTGCTGGGTCTGCGCGGCGGCGGCGGCAGCGGCGGCGGCGGCGGCGGCGGCGGCGGCGGCGGCGGCAGCGGCAGCAGCAGCGGTGGTTCTCGGCGGCGGCTCGGAGACGGCGGCGGCGGGGACCATGGAGGTGCTGACAGCGGCTGCGGAGATGGTGGCGGCGGCGGCCCTCTTCGCGCTGCGCCCCGGGCATTCACTGCACGCTGGTCTGCAGCCCGTGGTGCGGTGGCGGTGTGTCAGCGCTCACGGTACCCACCTGCGAGTAGACATCGTCCGGCGTCTGCTGCTGGATGCCAGGGGGCGTCATGCGTTTTTCCTTTTGGCGTCGGTTGCAGAACCAGACCCGCACGACCTCCTTTTCCAGCTGCAGGCTGTCGGCCAAGTTGGTGATCTCCTGCGCCGAGGGTTTAGGGCACTTGAGGAAGTGGCTCTCCAGCGCGCCTTTGACGCTAACCTCGATGGAGGTCCGCTTCTTGCGCTTGCGGCCCTGCGCTGCGATCTTGTCGATGCTGGTGGGGCTGCCGGTGCTGGAGTCAGCCTCCTCCAGCCACTTGTTCAGTAGCGGCTTGAGCTTGCACATGTTCTTGAAACTGAGCTGCAGGGCCTCGAAGCGGCAGATGGTGGTCTGCGAGAACACGTTGCCATAGAGCGTGCCCAGAGCCAGCCCCACGTCCGCCTGGGTGAAGCCCAGCTTGATGCGCCGCTGCTTGAACTGCTTAGCGAACTGCTCCAGGTCGTCAGACGTCGGCGTATCCTCGTCCGAGTGCGGGTCGTGGCTGTTGAGTCCTGGCCCCGCGCCGCCGCCTCCGTGATGCGGGGGTCCCTGCGCGTGGTGCGGGTGCGGCGGGTGCGGGTGCGCGTGGTGGTGATGGTGGTGATGATGCTCCGCCAGCTCGGGCGTGTCCCCGCGCACTAACCCTGGGTGAACCAGACTCTGGGCTCCACCGCCCGCTCCACCGCCGCCACCGCCGGGCCCCGGGGGCGCGCTCAGCATACCGTTCACCGTGAAGCCTCCGGGCTGCGAGTACAGCAGACTCTGCGGCGGCGGCTGCTGGCCGCCCGCCATGGACGGGAGGTGAGCGGCGGCAGCGGCGGCGGCGGCGGCAGCGGCGGCGGCAGCGGCGGCTCCCCAGCCCCCAGGGTGTCCCTGGTGAGGGGGCGGCGGCGGGGGCCCGAGGTGCGGCGGTCCGCGGTGGTGCAGCGCGGTGCCGGCGTGCAGGTCTTCGCGTCCAGCGCCTCCCTTCACGTCGGGGCCCTGCGGCGGCGGCGGCGGCGGCTGTGGCGGCTGCTGGGGGCTGCCGGCCATGCCCACCGCGCTGCCCGACCACGGTGAGCTGGCTTCCACGGCGGCGGCGGCAGCAGCGGCGGCAGCAGCGGCAGCGTGGGGCAGGGCGGTGACCCACTGGTGCGCGTGGCTCAGCATATGGCCGCCGTTGCTGGCGGCCATGGCCCCCTGCATGAAGTCGCTCTGGACCATCTTGACCGAGGACGGGTCCCCCCGGTAGGCGCCTGAGGTCACGGCGGCGCTTCCCGGCTGCATGCCACCGCCGCCGCCCCCCGCCCCGCCGCCGCCGCCGCCGCCGCCCCCTCCGCCGCCGCCCGCCCCAGCCGCGTCCGAGTGCACAATGGAGCCGGCCGTGAGCAGGCTGTTCCCCGGCAGGTAGGGGTTAGAAGCCGCCGTGGCCATGCCGCTCCGCTCCCGCCACCCCACCGCCGCCACCACCGCC